AAAAAAAAAGAGAGAGAAAAAATAAACGGACGAAATTGCACGGTCTCCGGAAACGCGAGAGACCTCGATGTGGTTCTCCCGCGGACCATCTCGCTATCCCAGATATCTCGATCTCATCGCACCAAACTCATCATCCATCCCGTGTCGGTCGGAAGAGCGAAAGGAACGAAGGACTTTCGTTCACCTCCCTTCACGCCCCATCATCGACAGCATCGTCGATTCATGTGCGCGTGTATGTGTGTGTACGTGTGTGCGCGAGTGTATGCGTGCGTGTGTGTGTGTGTGTGTGTATGTGTGCGGCCTAATGACACCGTAGCTGATCATCACCGTGAGAGCGTGGTCGTCGCCGGAGCGACGGGCGTTCCTCTCGTCGGCCCGTCGACGATCCTCGCCGGGATCGACGCCGGGCGATATCGCCCGTGACGTCGTAGATGCCGTGATAGCTGCTGTCCATTAATCAATAGCCGACGCTGGACGCGGGCGCGAGCCGAACGATTTTCGTTATTTTCCTCCTCAAGTGCGCGCGCGCAGATTCCTCCTCCGGGGTGTCCTGCCGAGTGTTTGAGGGTGGAAAAGCGCAAGGGAGAGTGACGTGCTCGCGTTCCTCCCGTCTGGCGTCTTGACTAAATATAGCGTGAGACGCGTGCCCGAGTTCCTCTCTCGTTTATTACACGGCCAGCGCCAAATGATCCGCGCGATTAATCCGCACGCGCATCCCCTTTTCGCAGCCCCCGAGCGGCGTTCATCGACTCCCAACAGCCGACTGCCTGAATGGTCCCATTGTCTCGCGCGCGTTTCTCGCACGACGCTCAAAGCAGCGTAAGACAATTGATCATGGCTCACTTGGCGACAAAACTTCCCGCGGAATTATCGATTAAAGTATTCGCATCTGCGATTAGGTTCTGCTTACTGCACTAAAGACGCTTCCAAGTATCAAATGAAGCAATCTAATTTGTCAGGTCATACTTTGAAGCAGTTGCAGCACCAAACGAATCTTATTTTGCAATTATCTCTTTGTCATGGAAAAAAAATTTGTTGTCACAACTGAAGCTAGTCCAGCAAATCTATAACCGTAAAGGAAAAGGTCCAAATATACTCTACCAATTATTTTGGTTTATCTTAAAATGCCTGAACTTATTGTAAGTAAATATATGTGCTATCGAGCAAGTATTATTAAAGTGTTTACTTTAATAATAGTAAAGGGACGTTCTTAAAATGATTAGATTTTTAATTATTTACACTTTTCTCAGAAGAAAGAAATTTACATTGTCTGAAAAAGAGATTCAAACACGGGCTATCTTTGTAATTTCAAAGTAGCATAGGATTTAATTTAAAGAAAGACATTTTATTTTATTTTTCATAATATCTATTGACAAAAATCCCATATATAATCATAATGTGCCCACAGAAAGCACATTAAAAGCACTATATCCACAATTTTTCCTTTGTAACATTAAAGAAATTTGTCACAAAACAAAAAACTTGCATTATTATTTCTTCAAAATTTTTCTTCAAAATTTCCTTCAAGTTTTCTCTTTCCAAATAGCAAAAAAAACTAGGCTATTGTCATTATTATTTACTAGTCGATATTAGAACCATCTATATTGATCCATATTCGAAACATTACATCGTGGATGACATGAGATTATATTAGCGAACACAATGTATACTTTCAATTAAACTAATTATGCTCTTCGATACATTCATCCTTATACTGCTTATAGTTCATAAGCAATTATATCGATTATATAAGTATATTTCTGAATAAAAAATAAAATATACATACCTTTGCAAATGTCAAAAAATCGAGAATCTTGTATAACTTCTAAATTGACTCGAAAACAATCGTGTAATCAAGTTTTGTTACGTGCTACGCCTTAAAGAAAATGATTCAAATGCTTTTTAGTATGACTCGGATACTGAAAATGCTTTCAGTAGAACGTAACACCATATAGTGTCAAAACACTAATAGCTCGTATTTGGACCATGACCCATATTTGGACCTTCTTCTTTATATTTGGATGGTCAGTTTATTATGCTACAGTAACTAAGACACAGAGCCACATAAGATTTAGTTTTCTGGTTGTATCTAATAAAGTTAAATGTATGTGTCACAACACGACAGATCTGCTAGTGCAGTGAAGACGATTCTCTAACTCAACCAATCGAAAATGTAGCTTGACGTATGCAATTAAATATCAAATAAATGCATTATTTATCTAGAAAAGCCAGAAAATGAATGTAAATTTGTTTCCAAGTAGAAATTTAATGCAGTTTTCGAACCGTTATACTAGACAGTTGTGTTAACTTTTCTTTAATTTCTTTTTTTTACTATATATTTTTTACACGCGTTTACTCATTGTTCTCGCAAATTTAAGTTTTTTCTTTAACAATATAAAAAAACATGTTTTAAATTTATTCACAATTATAATAGATATATAATATTATAATACGTACATATTATAAAACTGAATCAATATTATTGATGCTATATCTTGGAAAAAATCGGTTCACATATTGTAAACTACTTCAACCATTTAATAAAACTCTTTCAATTTCTTGTTCAGTTTCTACGTACTATTTTTGCAATTAACAAGAATGCATTAATATTAAGCAATAAATAAATAACTAAGCAGGTGTCTACGCAAACTGCACACATTTCTACCAGGGTTTCTCAAACTTCAATTAGCTCGAAATACGAAATGATTTGTTGCAGTAACTAATATAACAACAATACAGTTTTGTTCTGTGAACAGAATTGACAATTGCTCCCACACATAATTTCTTTGCTGCACTAACAAATCTGCTTATTTACAACATTTATGATCTTGTAATTAAAGTATAGATTTGCTGAATAAATCGAGCCTTTTTTTTCGCGTGTAAGAAATTACCTTTTCTTAAATTCAACGCTCGAGTATTTATTATAAACGGTGCGTAGCCGTTCTTGGGGCTAGTTGTCCCAAGCCTCGGTTTTAGAGTTCCCACTTCCTATCCGATTTTCAGAGAGGACCTCGCGCGCTCACGACCTCGCTCGCATTGCGTTTACTTCGTAGCGTTTAGTGAGTAGTAGCTGTATTACGTATACGACTCTGCTTCGAGGTCGTCGCGAGATATCGCGAGAGCAGCGATATGTCGCGACGAGCTCCTTCACGCGGCCTGCCGACACCAGAGTAGATGAGACGAGCGTAGGTACGTACACGAAAATAAGTGAGACACATACATGACAGACTCCCGAAAATATATATCTCTCTTCCCCTAAAAGATTAATTTTTCCCCTCTCTCTGTGCCAAATATCTCCACCACACTTCGCTATGAACACTCTTGTATATTTATATATATATATATATATATATTTATATATAAACATATACATATATCCTTATTGATCTTTCTCTCGTAATATACACTTAAAGAATTTATATATAAATATATATATATGTATATATATATATTTACGTATATATATTACATTTTTTTTCGAAAGACACACTCTATGTGATTTTGTATCGTTGGCCTCGATTACGCTGCATGCATTTGTACGAGTCCTGTCCGAGTACGAGAGACGACGATTTTTCTTACACTTTTTTTTCTTCTTCAATCTCTCGACATATATCACGGAAGTTCTCGTGTGTGACGCGTAAGAAATGCGCGCCGGTCGAAACTGAGGCGATCGCGGTCGGCTGTCGGTTAACTAGCTCACCCCATCCACGTTTAGATGTAGCTCTAGCTGTTGTAGATAGAAAGAGAGAAGTTAGTTAACCGCAATTAACGCGCGAGTAAAGTCGACGCATCGTGCATCTGAAGGATGCGTTCATCAATCAAGGGGATTTTTGCGGTTAAACGCAGTTCGTAAAAAAGTAAATTCAGATTTCGCCAAGACTGGCTCGCAGCGACACACACGTAGGCTTCTTGTTTGTCTTTGTAATTAGGACACGATCGTAATAGCTCGAGAACGTCAGCCTTCTCCGTTAATCCGATCAAGTAAGATCAAGAAAGGCGCATAGACGAGTTAAAAATAGCGGTGGGATCGAAGCGGCACGACAATGCGATTTAATATTTAATCCTCGACGAGAGGGTGGAAACTTTTTTACAGGATAGAAACCTCCCTCGCGGCGCGCGCGTCGCGACGTTATTTTAATTAAAGTAATCCCGATCTCCTCCTCAAGAGAGGCTCGTGTCAAAGTCCAACGGCAATTAAGTAACTCCCCTGATTATATCCCGCAAGGCTGTTCGTACGGAAACCAATTTCGCGCGCAATTTGGATCAGGAATCATTTAAGATGCGCGCTCGACGATGCAAGCGCGGTAAATTCCTCCCTAAAAATCGAAATTGCCGATCCAGAAATAGACCTTAGAATCCACAACGTGTGGAAATAGACGTTAGAATCGAACAGGTCACACAAATATTATCTGATATTCCGTCCGACGAGATTATCGCGTTGTCATATTCGCAGCAATTGAAATTCTATTGCTATATCAAATTAGAGTGGATCGGAAAATTCTTCCGGGATGTGCCAAAAGAATACAGTATGAAGAAAATGCAGAAAAATGCAGAATTATGAAAAACTGAGAAGTCCCTAATCCGATTATCGTGACAACACAATCTCGCATAATATGATTTTCAACTGAGATTTTATATTAGTAACGGATCGTTAAATCATACAAATCGAAGCTGTCGACGAACGCTTTTCACTGCCATCACTGCTCGCGAGTTTCAAATTCTAACGAGCCCACCGCCACGGCCGCTTCGTGTGAGAGCAGAGTTTGTGTCTTCTTTTGTTTATTTTTGCGCGCGTTTTTGCCGCCAAGTCCTCGCCGGAAGGACGGGTCACTGTTATCGCCGTCGTCGTACTCGGTCATGACGGGGAGAGTCGGCAGTCCCGACGCTTCCGTCGCTCGTCGCCGTCGTCGTTATGCCGTCTGTTGTCTTCGTCGTCGTCGTCGCCAAGACGGACGGGGCGCAGGGACTGATCCTCTCCTGGACGACGAATCTTTTCGCAGCTGGACGAGCTCCGGACGGAGGTACAGCGAAGGGACCAGGAGCTGCTGGCGATGTCGGCGAAGATGAAGACGCTCGAAGAGCAGCACCAGGATTACCAGAGGCACATCGCCGTGCTCAAGGAATCCCTCTGCGCCAAGGAGGAGCATTACAACATGCTGCAGGCCGACGTGAGTGTGAACCTTTCAGCTTTACCCGATCCATTATGAAAATAGAATTATACGTCCCCCCTCGCTGGGAGGTATGTCGCCAGATGAAGAGTGAGTCCTCGTGAGAAAAAATTAATCGAGAATATCGAGGATAGATCAATTCACTTATCAACTCCTGTTCGTGTAAAAAGCGGACATGCCCCTCGTTTCCTGTAAATTTGCGATATTGAGGCACAAGGGATTTTTTAAGTCGCAATTTCTTACTTAAAAAGACTGTTAAATAAAATTAATTTGTTAGGAATTCATTTAAATTTTCACTACATATAAAGTGGAATATTATCTACTTCTTCATGAAATTAGAAAAAAATTGACCAAGATTAAGATATGTAAAACTAAAGTTGGCACTTTTTACATGTATTCCTTCAGCTGGAAGTGCTATTTTCAATTTCTTGTAAACTAAAATTAGGATTTTAATTAAAAACTTTCACTCCGTATATTTGCAATTTACTCAATGTATATTCACTCCACTTGCAATTCTATACTATTATTTACAACTATATAATATTATAGTCATGTTATATCATATAACAGTATATAATAGAATCTAGAACTTTAATATTAATTTACAAAAAAATGAACTAAATGATAAAAAATTTGAAGAATCACACAATGCAAACATTATTTGTGAATGAAATTATATTTCAAATTTTTTATGCTAATTTTAACACATTCTATTTTATTTCCTTAGTGAAATTGGATTGCAAACGTATTTTTGATTTGTCTTTTTATTACATTCGAGTCAATTTAAAGAAAAAAAGTGATATGTTTTCCAAGTCTTATAATTTTTAAATACTTTTATTTTTTCCAAAATTTTTTTTTCAAATCTTCTAATGATGCAAATGGATTAAGTGACCTGTTAATTTGTGGGTTATTTCTAGTTTATCAACTAAATCCGAAGGACGCATTTGGGAAATAATGTTCCAATTTTTGAAATTTCTATCCGAGCAATTTTTGCAAAATCAGTGGACAGAGATATACTTGTATTTTTCCGCGCATATCGTAACTCTTGACAATTTGATCGAGACGTTCCATTTTTCTTGTGTTCAAGTTGAAAAGTAAGTTTGCTATTGTCCCGTTAATCATTTCTCTTTCGCGCGCGCGAAAGGCGCATCGTTCTGCTCTCACGGAAAATTTACAACGGGAAGAATTCGCCAAATATGTTCTCGGTAAACAAGTTTACTGTCGGTTTTGTTGCTCTCCGCGCACACTGAGCGAAAACTAGAACGCGGCTGAGCCCCGGAATCGATACCGAATTTCTAACCGCATCGCCCAAATTCGAATGTTCGCCGGATGCGTCCGCCACCGCATGGAACTGACGAGATTCCGCAACTAACTCGGTACTGCTATCGTGAAAGCTCGCGTGGAGGATTATCGCGCTGAATTAAGAAGTCGTCTCTCTTTGTTCAATTTTTACGAGCCTTTTTAGAATCGAGGAGTCCATAAAAGTCGGAAGCCCGCGGGCACCGCGCGAGCTGAAAAATTGCTGCCGAAGTCTAACGTCAGGCGCGAAACTAGGACGCAGCTGCGAAATCGAATTTGAATGAGGTCACCGGAAACGTTGACCCAACTCACGCAAATCCCATGAATTCTGAAACGACCATCGGTGCGAGGGGAATCCTCAATGCGAGTTTTGTCCAAGCGCGAATCTTTCTCTTTTTTTCAGTCGGCTAATTAAACTTTTGCCGCGCGATGATTCTGCGCGAAACGTTATCTCGCGAGATGCTTCGAATTCGCGACAAACGAAACGATGGTCTTCAGGTTTCTGTTTCTTCGTCGCGGCCATCTTAATTAACCCTTTACTCATTCAACTAGACTTTCGTGACGTGAGACAACTGATGATGGGAACTTTACAATCATTGTAATTACATTTATAGATCAAATATACTGTATTGTATTAATTATTGAATTTGCATTATACAATGCAAATGTGAATTCTATGTTATATCGATGCAGCAAGAAAATATACTCTCAGATTTTTATATTACATTTTGCATATATTATTTTATGCAAATTTTGATAATTTTTTTCATACTTCTTTTGTATTTCTATTTTATTATTCTATACAATAAATTTACGTACCATACGAACCATTCATAAAGAATGCAACTTTTACAAATTGACTACAATAAATTTGCTACAATATTTACTCACAATTGTATATCTGAGTCGATTTGTAAATGTTGCATTCTTTACGAGCGATTCATATTACACTTATATTTATTACATAGAAACAGAATTACAGAAATAAATTATTAAAATTTACTCTAAATATATAATATATTATATAAAATGTATTAGGAAAATTTTAACGTAACCTTTAGTAAATTTGTCGCTGCATCAACATAACTAAAAATTTATATTATTATGTGATATAAACTTAATGATTAATTCAGTACAGTATATAGTATATCTCACGACGATCTGTACATGTCAAGAGAATTTTCCTAGTATAAATTTAAAGTAGTTATTATTACAGTAGCTATCAATATATAAAATATTAAAAAAAAGATTTATCTAGACGGTTTATCTAGAAGATTTATTTTAGTATGGTTTACAGATGTAATTTGATAGCTATATATCACTAGTCAAATATACATTGTTTTTGTAATATATATAGTTTATTGTTATATATATTTCCAAAAACATACATTTACAGTAGTAGACCAAGCACCTAAAGTAAAGTAAAAAAAGCAAGCGTCTAAAGGTTAACAATGTCAACAGCGAAAAAATCATTTACCTCAAATTCTTGTGGAATATGTTAAAATAAAGTGACACTTATGATCTCGATTGAGCATGTTTGTAAAATATTCCGGAAACTTTCCTTTTACTCTAACAATTAATAAATAGCCGTAAAGTTAAGGCGATAAAATTTTGAGACAAGATAAATTATAAAAGAAGGTCGTATGTCGTGTTAATTTTACGACTATTTATTAATATATTGAGCTAAAAAGATGTATCTATAAAAGGATACTTGTGGTCGATTGAGCATATTTCTAAAATATTTTGGAAACTTTCCTTTCACTCTAATAATCAATAAATAATCGTACAATTAACGTAATAAAATCATGAGAGAGAGTAACTTAAAATAGAAGATCGTGTATCACTTTAATTCTACGGTAATTTATTGATTGTTAGTGCAAAGAGGAAATTTTTGGAACATTTTACAAATATGTTTGATCGATCACAAGTGTCACTTCATGAACACGACCTTTTATTTCAACGTATTTCGCTAGAATTTTAGACATGCTTTTTTCGCTTCTGATATCATCAGACAGGACGGTGAGTCATCAGAAACTTTGAGAGGATGTCAATGTGGATGACGAGCTGTATATTGAGCAATGTTGCAATTCACATTTGCATATACTTTTATTATTTAAGAGCATTTATCATTCTGTGCAGTGAGCGCGACATAAACTATGCAGGGAGAAGTCAGTATTTGGTCGATAAAATGTTCAAGCATGTCATCCCCTGAACGCTGGAACGGTCGGGTGAATAATGACTACGTGAAGCAATCGTTTCCTGCTTGAGAATAACAAAAAGTTCGACGATGAAATGTTAAAAACGTTCGGCTGCGCTTCCATCTAAGATTCCGCCTCGAAACGTTCGGCCGCTCGAAATATCGTACCCCCGACGCATCGAGAAACCCCTCTTCAGATCAATCTTTCAAAGGAAGAACCTCCGGGAAGGAAGAAGAGAGAAAGAACTTCCTGAACTCACGAGGAAGACCTTCGGAAGGAGGACTTCCGGAAGGGTTAAGTAATCGGCTGCACGTGATCCCGATTGTCTGTTAGACAAATCGGTCCGGCTAATCGAGGAGTCCACAGCTACGGCTGCGACGAGTCGCGTGTTCGGGAGAGGCCACCAACGGGGAAAGGAAGGCCAAGCCGTCGCGGAAAACTGGGTCGAGCTTCTCTCTTCTCTCCTCTCCTCTCCTCTCCTCTCCTCCCCTCATCGTCCTCGGCGTCGCGTCGCGTGTACGTGCGTAGTACGTATTGCGCGCTGAATATTCCGGATTGGACTCGCCTGAGGACTCACCACCACCTCGGCCGTACCCCCGCGTTTGGTCCCTCTTTCACTGTACCAACGCGTCGAAAATGTGCCGCAGGTCGAGGAGATGCGGCAGCGGCTCGAGGAGAAGAACCGGATGATCGAGAAGAAGACGCAGGCGGCGATGCAGGCGCAACAGGAGCGCAATCGCATGAACACCGAGCTGACCGAGATCAAGGATCACATGGACATCAAAGATCGCAAGATCAATGTTCTGCAGCGCAAGGTGAGTCCTTCCCCCGCTCATACGCCGCTCAAGCTCGGGGTCGTTCTCGAGGGCGATCCTCGTTCGACTTCCACCTATCCACGTATCGCCTCGTGGGCTGTTCTCGCGCGGACTCTTCGCCCCGACGCTTTCGTATTCATCAGCCCCCAAGTCGCGAGGGCGACTGGCGGGCACGAACGAGACGCGAGCAGTCGCCTCATTGCGATTCATAACTAGAAACACACAGGGGAGCATTATGCGAGAAGATTGCCGGCGCGAAGTAAGACAACTTCGGCGAAATGAATTTCCTTATCGCGCGCTCTCGCTGGGACCCGTTCGGCTCTACCTCGGCTGAATAGAGGGTTGCGAACGAACGCGGGGGCGGACGAGTCCGGCGAAATTCGTTCTCTTATCACGCGACGGCAGTTAGCGCTTAGGACAATATTTACTGCGAGCGCGAGGCGGATTGCTCCGATGGAATTAATGAATTAGCGGGAGTACGCTATTCTATCTCCCTCTCCCTCTCTCTATCTCCCCCCTCACTCCCCTCAGTCTCTCTCTTTCTCATCCCCACGCAGCCAACCCTCCCACGCGTACACACCGCGGAAACGCGGAATGCGCATGAGTACGAGCAGCGACTTCAATCAATCGGCCTCGTGTGAATTGCGATCGGCTCTTTGAGGAAATTCCGTGGGCTGATCCCGCTACGGACGATGTACGTGCCGACACTGCGAAACGTCTCGGCGACGACGCGCTATCGGTATCGATCGCCGTCGTGTCCTCGCTACCGAGATTCCGAGACGAGTGATCCTCGCGTACGTTCCGTCGCGGAAGGACGACGGGGTTTCCGACGAGACGTCCCGCGATGATGAAATTCTTCACGAAGTGCTGGTCTGATTCGCCACCTCCCTCCCCTCCCCTCTCCTGACGCAAAATTAAAACGCACTGAGAGAACAAATCTCTGAAAAATAACCAATATTTTTCAGGTAGGTACTAATATTATATGTTTACTTGCTATATAAAACTAAATTCTTTTTTTCGGATAAAATATTATTTACTCATGTACCATCATCATTGTACAGTTTATTTCAATAGAATGGAATATCAATTTCATGAAAAATCGAAAAATATGATAAAGAACACTTTTTATTTTGTGTTGAAATAGATCTAGAAATTTTGGTACGAAGTTTTTAACATACTCGTGTGTCAATTTAAATATTTTGACTACATTATTATATTATTATATATATATTCCTTTTTGTCTTGGAAATGTATATTTTCTCATTTGAAAAAAATATTTATACGAGCATAAGTAAATATGTTATTAGTACTCACTGCGAATAAATATTTCTTATCTATTAGATATTTTCTCTCTAAATGTACGATTCACTTCCTCTTCTTTCCCCGCCCGCAATTCTCTCCTCCACGTCGAGATCTACAGTTCCCCAATGTAATTTTCAATGAAATACCGAAAATACACCACGTATTTGAGCCCCTCATGAGAAAAAACGCTGCTAAAGAAATACCAACAGTCATCCTTTCGCAGAGCTCGCTTTCAGCGAGTCTTTGCCTTTGATTACCGCTTCATCAGTCCCATGAGCGTCAAAGGTCTCTCCTGGTTGTTCGACGCGACAAAAGCGAGATCCTCGGATTAGGAGCGCGCGCGTACTCACGCAAAGTGCCGGCCGCTAATTGTCCAGGCTCGACTGAAAGTGAACGAAGCGCCCGCGCCCCCGACTTGGTGCATCATTCCCGTGTTGCAACGGGCGAGAGGGAATGCGCATGAGTGTCGAAGATTCGGCGGCCGTCGTCGATCGGCACGGCCGTGACACAGATGTGGAGTACACGCGCGCGCGCGCACACACTCGAGGACCTTTGTGTGACGTTTCCTTGCGGCGTTTTTACGTTTATCAGTCGTATATGACACGGAGCCTCGTACAGTCGGTGTTCACACACGGGCGCAAATGCAGTCGGCGAGGATCCCGCTGCGTTGCATCCCGCACACACCCCTTCGGCAGCGCTTTCCGTCACGCCGCGCTCACATCCCCGTTGCGTTACGTAGTTGTGCGTCTCGTAGGTGATAAGGCGTCCTTTCCGTAAGATTATGTTGCGTTCTGCTTATCTTAGTTTGTTACGCGCGATTATGTTGTCGTCGTCACGATTCTGCGCTTGGTTTCTAGCCCCCTCCTCCTTCCTTATCTTCCTATCTTCGTCTTCCCGTCGTCACTCACCTCCACACGGGAGACCGGGTCTAGTTGACCCAAGAGTTATGATGGAGTTATTATGTGTTTTGTTTAAGTACTTATCGCGAGAGGAACAGTGGAAACGAAATCGCAAAATATCCCTCTTGGGAACATGAGCACTCCTCCCGGAGTTTCATTAAAATCGGAAATAATGTTGCAGTTGAAAAATATAAAAAACTGATTTAAGAAGTGCCAAGTACATTTTCGAGCGTCTCGACATCTTGTGTTAATATTCCCCGTCGTGAGTGTGAATAAAATTAACTGACGTGTTATATATTAGACAGAATGAAGTTTCCTGCAAATGTATGATACGCTATTTTGAAAAATAAAAATAATTTTCACTCATGAAACGACTAAAATCGAGCATGTGGATAAACGAGATAAAGTTAACCTTATGCTAAATGTAAATAAACTTACTGTAAATAAAAAGTGAAAATTGCTATATTCTGACTGTCGGAAATATTTCTTTCTTCTGCAGCAAAACAGTAATAGTAAAGTTTATACTTATATTACAAAATAGTTCTAAACTAAATATATAAAGTATTTTTCAAGATGCAAAAATATATATTTTTATGTGACCTTCTTATCCTACTAAGCGACTTGACCCGGTACTAGATGGTACCACTGCAGGATGTTCGTGTTTCGATTATTATACAAGGTGTCCGGTAATTCATGGAGTCGTAGATTAGGTCAAATAGAACAAAAAATTCCTCTACCATTTTGCGAACAACCATGTAAAATTCTGAGTTATTAATCTAAGAAGATTCATAAATAATCACGCCCCATACAATAGACGAGCTGTGATAACCACATTTATGGCTGTATACTTAGATGTTATATTAACGTAAAGTTTGGTTTACTAAACGAATTAATGCATTTTGGTTGAAGGATATAGAATTTCTGGTTCTTATGATCAAAATTTAGTTGTAAGAATGAGAAGCACCCTTTCCACCAGGCACGAGGCGTTCGTTCGTTCGTTCATTACAACTGTACTTCGTCCTAATAAATAAAAACAAAATCTTTTTCTCTGTGAGGTCTATTTTCATTATGTCTACAGTTTACAAAGCTGTTGCTGATATAGAAACATAGAGAAAGGGTTCTACAATACTTGTACAATCAACAATTAGCTATTTAAACAGCTGTGACTTTGAAATGCTCAAAGAGTGTCATCTCGTCCCGGTCTCCCTTGCTTGACTAGATTATCGATGATTTGCCGTCACTTTATCGGCCACTCCTCTTTTAGCTCGTAGCTCAGCGTTAGATACGACAGAACATTGTTAATGTTTGTTAATCGCTGTCAAATGTGTAATACACACGTGGCACTTCGTGCCAACCTTCGGCTCTTCGATCGAACGTTCAGCGTACGACGGCGAGCGGAGCGAGAGAATGATTTATTTTCAGCGTTATCGTTTAATTTACACCGTACCATCACGCTTGATCACGTTGTATTTGCGTGCAATTTAATTTGTAATCCACTTGTGTTCCGTTCAGTTCGATTAGCGTCGAAACCTGCGTCGCTATTGGACGTACGATGTATTTGCGCTTCGTCATTTTGTATCACGCTGCCGATGGAATCTGTTATCTCTTGTCCACAACCTTGCTTTAATTCTTAAGCCGTAAAAAATTGACCAAACATAGTTGATTATTTTTAAAATAATCGACTGTGGTTGATCAATTTATTACGGCTTAAAGATTAAAGCAAGACTGTGGACAAGGAGCGAGAGACGTTCTTCTGACTCAGAGTTAGGACAAAGCATGATGATGATTCCTGATAGATCTGCGTCCTGTCCGCCATCGTTAGGGGTGGCGTGGGAGTGAGAGGGAAGCTCTAAATACTGAAATGACGAGGCACGCTTCTCACTCACTCGCTCACTCACTCATTCATTTCCTCCCTACAAGTGGCGGACGATGTCCTAACTCGGACCTGGGGTATATATTTACGTAATATCTACCGTTCGTGTCGCACGGCCGCGCATTTCATTCTTTTGCGTTAGCGTGCCGGCCGTGACGGCGATGATGTCCGGGTACGATCGTGTGAGTAGAGGAAGACCGAAGGCAGTGCGTTGGCAGGTAGGTGTGTGATTACGTGAATTTACGTTAATTAACATCCCGCATTGTTATCTTCCGCGAGGCTTCATTAGCGACGAC